GCAGGACTCGGGTCGCCTTGTTGTTTGCTTGGACATTGAAACTGGAACCCTGGGCAGGACTCGGGTCGCCTTGTTATTTGCTTGGACTTTGAAACTGGGACCCTGGGCAGGACTCGGGTTGCCTTGCTTAACTCGTTTTTTTGGCCTTGAAAAAAAAAAAAAAAAAAAAAAAAAAAAGGATATAAAAGGAACAATATGTATAATAGGATTGGAGTTGGAGGAATAAAATTAAGCAAATAAGATACGAGACATTGCATATGATAGAAGCAGAAAAGAGACATGAATCTTCTTTTGAATTTGAGTCTCTCTTCAGTGATTGTTACTGTTTGGTGAATTCTTTTGCTTTGTCATTTTGATAGTTTAGCCTGTTAGAGTTCGCTTATGCTTGAGCGACAGACAGGTAGTCGCTTATGTCTGGTCTTCTTTGAGGTCTTTAGTGGTCACTCGCTAAAGGATTGGCTGACTGTTGGATTAGTAGGAATTCTGGGAGCCTCCTTCCTTAAGGGAGAATGCTGCCGAAATTTCTGGTATATTTACGAAGTCAGTCAAAACCTGTGAGTCTTTAAAGGCTAGACTTAGGACTGTCTTAAGGATTAGTAGGAATTTTTGAAGCCTTCCTTACTAATGGCAGTGCTGCCGAAAATTCTACTAAACCCAAGGAAGCCGAGGTTAAGTAACCTTTAGGTCAGAAGTTTATTTAGATTTGGATTTGTATATTTTCTGTGGGCTCACCCCTTTAGGGAAGATGCTGCCCAAATTTTTGCTATTTTTACGTCGTTACTGGGCGATATAGCTAGAGGAAGTGCGATACGGAGTTCTTCTCCGGTAATGCGACAGATGGTGGCTACGTTATTTGTGACGCAGGTTATAGCTACCTAAGGGAGATTAGGTGTGATAAGCTTCATCAATTTTCTGCAAGCACTAAATAGCAGGTCAGTTAGTCGATCGAACCGATCGATATACGACTCAGCTATGCCCATCGTGATACCCATGCCATGATGCTTGGAATCTCCCTGCTATAATGACATTTCCTCAAAATGATAACCTTTTTATCCCTCTTATTCATCTCCTTGAAAGAACCATGAAAAAAGTTGAGAAAGCTGAATAGAAAGTGGGGGTATGCCATTATTAAAAGAGGGGGTCGGTGGAAGGGGCATGTGGGATATGAATTGGGAGACAAAGGGTTGACCACGTAGTGGTATTTTGTGTACGAATGTCAATGAGATTTTGTGTGGATGCACGTTGGTGTTAGAAGCAAGGAACCGCTCCTCGAATAATAATGCTTTTGAATGATGTGCTTAAGCGGGTAGCAAGAATCAACTTGGGACTGTGAGAATGGCTTACCCTGGCTTCCCGCGAGAGTCTCTCTATTCCCTTCTAAACCCCCTATCTGCACCTTGGATTCCTGATGTTGACCTTGGAAATGGACTTAGCGATTGTGTGAGAGATATGGTCTCAGAAAATGCTATGGAATTTCCTTCTCTCTCTGAGTGATGGTCTTCTGAACCATCACGTGATCGTTACGCTTATCCTTATCGTGGTTGAAAGCAGGATTGGATAGTCCGCGACGGGTAAGAGATTACTGTCATCTGCGATGTTAGCTCTCCCTCGCGACAGATGCTCCTCTTAGCCCTACACGCGAGACGCGAGAGGCACGAGGGTCGGTGATCACTCTTAGTGGTCGTCTTCAATATTAGAAAGCTAACTCTTTGGGGAGCAAGCAAGCCATCACCTAAGTGTCTAAGGCACTCCTCGGTTCCATCGAGAAGTGTGCGGTTATGATTACTCCGTAAAACACCATTACGAAAAAAGGGGGTTTGTTTTCAAGCTTCATGACTTCGATATGATTGAATCGGTTCCTTCCATTTTATATTGAGTACTTGATCAGATTCTGTGAAGAACAGGATGGGAAAAATTATGGGTAGTTCCTTCAAGGGACTAGGCGATGATCCAATTAAGTTTATCAAGTTTTCTTCGAGCGGAGGACTACCGCGTGGTCACCTAATCGTCCTAGTCGACTGACGTATGACCCCGTTTAGGAACTCAGCCAGCCTATGACGAGGGTATGCGTCCGGGTTCGATCCAGGCGATAGCCGCGCGTGCCCCTATGCTACAGCGAACGAGCAAACGCCCTCGGCTGGCCTACCTCTGCGACTGCATCATAAGAGCTCTCGCACGTGGGTCAGTAGCTCGGCAGGGATACGCCCACCCACGGGATGGTGACAACTCCCAATTGGTGGAGGTAAGTTGTGCCTCGCGCAGCCTTTGTCCTGTCGCAGGAGCGCGCGAGAGGTATGGCTGGCGCACTTGGTCAGAGCGGCATCAGGGCGAGCGTTTGTTTTCCGCGCGTCCGTCAAGCCCCGCCTAATCCTGCGTGACAAAGGCCGGGAGGGTCCCGCTCGCGCGGGATCGATGCGCACGACAGGTGGCACCATTGTCGGGGATCTCGGCTGCCTACCGAGGTCCAAAGTGAACGAACCTTGGTTAATGATTGTGGCGGGCCGATGATCCCAGGCAAGACGACAATTTTATTTGACTTCTGGTGCAAAATATTTGAGGGTTGAGTGATTAACCCTTGGTATGGGAAGTTAAGTAAGAGGCTTGACTGCCTTATCGAAGAAAAGGCTTAGACTTGATCAGGTTTAGGCACTATGAGCCTTTATTAGTATAAAATGCCCAGTAAAATAAAAGTTGTCTTTTTGTTAAGTAAATGGGATTGGATGTGAGAGTCAGGTCATATGGATATGGGATATGTCTAGAGATAGGAATAGAAAGATCGCGCATATATGCATACATGATTTTTGTGTATTATCTGGGGATTGAATTTTGCAAACTCATTTTGTCCTTCCCTTTAGATTGGATGAACTTGGGGAGGTTTACAAGATGACCCTTGATAAAGATAAAAACCTCATCATAAAGGTCTGGCTACTGATTGATGTTTGGGCAGGAAATTCGAAGGAAAGTCAGAGATTGGCAAGGATGGCGCATGTCCGAAGTGATCCTTGTGTGGCTTTGCCAGTCCGGAAAGAGGGAGGATTGGAGATGACTCTGCCTCGAAGATTTAGGATTGGGGAAGATGCGTATTCATGGTGGGGTAAAAAGGTGGATAAGGATGTGTTCGCCTGGATAAAATCTAGCCTGATTGGGGAAGATGAGGATGTGCTAGTGAAAGTACTCCTCTACGTAGCGTCTTTCTTCTGGACCATGCTTGGGACTGAGTTGGTTATGGGAAACAAGAAAACTCTGGCCAAATAGCTAGGGTTGGCTGAGGCTGCCGTACTTAAGTGGACAGCGGATATGCCCTACGCAGGGGATGAGGTGGTGTATGTATGTGTGGGATTCCGAGACCCACGACACCTTTGAGGGTTGTGATCCCTGACGACATAGTGGAAGTCAGGAAAGGGTGGAAAGGGCAGCGGGAGTCGCGATGATCCTGCGAAATTTGGGGTATGAAAGGTACGCTTGTGAGGTGGTTTACAACCTGTACCTTGAGCTAGGATCTACACTTAAGGAAAGTGCGTCGGTGAGGGTGGTACAAGATGTCATAAACTACCTTTCCCTTTATGTGCCAGATGATGGACCGGATTGGTGGAACCACCTTCGGTACGAGGTAAATGCGAGGTAGGACCTGGGGAAACCCAGTCCTGCTTAGACCCTTCCTATGTAAATAGACATTGTAGGTAAGAAACAGATGGGATAGGGAAGAGTGATTTGGTTTGAATCTGTATACTTGTGGTTGTGTTGGCAGGAAGGCGATTAAAAGGCAAAGAAGATGGTGAACGAGGTGGTTAAAAGTGTTAAGGATGGAAGTTCGACGGTTCACCAACCAATTATGGTTGGCCAGCTGGTGACATTATTGGGGGGTCGGGAGTCCCTAAGGTCCAAATTTTTCATTTCAAAGGAGATAAAGTGTCAGAATGGTTGGAATTGCTTGAACAGATCACTGACGAAATGCCTGACGCGGAAAAGTTTCGTCAGGTACCGAAGTATGTTTGGTGGGAGATGCAGCCAGAGGTGATGCGCGTCGCCAGTGAGGCCAATGACAACTGGGCTAATTTCAAGGTTGAAATGCAAAGGCAGTACCAGTTGGGGGATGGACTCCTCACGGTGGAGGACCTGGAAAGGTTGGAGCGGTCAGACTTCATGACAATAGGAGCCTTTGCAACCGCTTTTGAGAAAATGGCGAGGAAAGTCCAAGGACTGGTAGAAGAGACCCAGTGCGCGATATTCCTAAGGAGTTTCACTGAGTGCGAAGTGGTGTCGCTCACCAGGAAGGGAGCTGTGGGGCGAAAAAACAAAGTCTGGCTGATGGGGAGCTGGATCAAGTATACCAGTTTCAAATGAAACAGCAACGCCAAAAGCGGAAGGCTAGGGCTGCCGCTGAAACAACTGGAATTAATCTCCAGCAACTTATTGCGGATGGGATAGCGCAGTATTAGGCTACCCAGCAAAAACCGGTAGGAAAGCAGGTGATGGTGGTTACTCATCCGGCGGCAAAGACGACGAAGAAATGAAAAACAGTGGAGCAAGTGGAAGAAGAGGATGAGGAGGAGGAAGAAGAGGAGCCGGTGAAGCTGACGAAAAGTCAGCGAAAGGCTAGGAACCAGGCCATGGGCGGTCAAGGGACATGAAAAGGAGTACAAACTTCGACGTCGGCTCAGGCGAATGTTAATCAAGTAAGCGCAATAGGAGTTCCGCCGCAAGCACAGGTTTCGCCACCACAATGGCCAGGAGTTTTCCCCATGGCCTGGCCAGGATTCAATCCCTGTATTTCATGGCCATATTTCGCCCAGCTGGGACAGTTTACAGGAGGATGCATGCCTCAATCCATAGGAGGGTGCGCGAACGCTTCAGGCCAAGGAGGAGAACAGCAACAGCAGCAGGCAGCCGCGCCTCAGAATAGCCAACCTAATCAAGGGGCTGGTCAAGGACAAGGCCATCAGCAAGGAGGAAATGGACAGGGTGGCCAAGGGCGAGGAGGAGGAGGTCGTGGCCGTGGGTTTGGCAATGGTGGTCAAGGAGGAAGAGGTGGAGGTTGGAATGGGCAAGGAGGAGGCGATAGGCCTCGATTTGATTGGAGGAATGTCACTTGCCACCATTGTGCGCAGAAAGGACATACTTTGAAGTTTTGCCAAATCCGAAAGATGGACGAGGAGGAGAGACTGATATCTTCGAACTTGGATGGAGACATCTATGACAAATTCGGAGAGTGTATAGATCCCAAGGTTCCAGGCGGCATTCGAAAGGAGGCGCTCCGATGTGCTAATCAGCAGCTTGCTCCTCGTGCTATGTTCAGACTATGTCTGGAAGAGGAGGTGGATAAAGGAGACGACGAGGAGGATGTTGGAGTAAGAACAGCAGGAGATAATAGTGAGAAGGGAGGTGTGGTAGAGCGAGGGAAGGATGAAGAAAACTGTCAGGAGACAGTGGGAGAGACTATGCGGCACATGGAAAGCCTCTTGGGGAAAATGCAGAGGCTAAACTCGGAACTGAGGACAATTTGTGATGAGATAAGTAAACCAATGGTTTACTTATTGGGATCTCAAACAGGGTCATCAGGTGCTAAGCCAGCATGCGGAACTTTGAGTCTTACTCCGCGGTCTGGGATTACATTTCGGCCTCCTCGAGGGCAATCGAGGGCACCACAAGCTATGCAGACAAGGAGCAAGAAGGGTAATCCTCCCAATGAGGCAGAACCATCGAATAAGGGCGAGCCGCGAGAGAAGGGGCCAGTCACTGAGGTGGATACAAGAAATGAGAATAATAATGAGGATGAGCGATAAGGGAAGGAAGAGGAAAAACAAGCTGTTGAGCGTGCCAAGAAAAGGAAGGCGAGGAGCGGCCGGAGACGGTAGCAAAAGGAGAGACTTCTCGCAAGCAAAGGTATGCGGTACCTTTGGAGGAAGGATTGGATATTGAGGGTATGGTGGACAGGCTCCTTAAGGGTCATAATGAGTGGTTGAACCTGAAGGACATCCTTGTGTCAGCGCCAAAGCTCCGCGAGGAATTCAAGGCTAGGTGATCTTATCCCAGCTGAAGCCCATTGGGCGACTCCTGGAACTCAGATGGATTGGAAATCAGTCGCGACCGGGAGCGTGAACCTGATTATAAAGGGGAAGTCGTGCAGTGGGATGCTGGACACGGGAACAGAAATGAATATCATTAAGGAAGCAGATGCGCTTCGGCTAGGACTGGATATAGACAGGGAAAACATGGGTTTCCTATATGGCGTGAGTGGACGGACACCCTTCATCGGGACAGCCGCGAATGTCGTTGTGGAAGTGGGGAAGGTGAAGGTAAGGTCCTGCTTTTATGTCATGCCAGATTTTGACCATCCTCTGTTGCTAGGAAGGTCATTCCTTTGCCGAACAGAGTCAGTGATTTTAAATAAGCATGACGACACTATGTACGTCATACTTAGTGATCCGGTTTGTGGCAACTACGAGATTATTACCTGTCATAATACAGGTCCTCGTAGTATGAGGAACAGGTCTAACCCAGGTTCATTTACCTTTGAGGAGTCCGAGGAAGAAAGGAGGCGGCTCATGGGGAAAGATGAAGTGGTGAGTGAGTCATGTGGTGAGATGTCGCTGAGCTTGATAAGTATCAATGACGCAATGGAGATAGTCTCAACGTATGGAATGACGGATCCTGTGGCGGTACAGGCGCTGAAGGAAAGGGTTGTGGATGGCGAAGGTGAAGTGGAATTGGTGTATCGATTACCAATGAAGGAAGGAGATATGAAAGAATCTCAAGGCCATGCCGCGAGTCATCTTTTTTTAGGGGTGGACTCAAACAAGGCTCCCGAAGGCGGTACAAACGCGTAAGCGAGAAGTGCCGACCTGTTCCAGTGCTCATAACGACAGAGGAGGAGTTCTATTATTAGCAGGAACGGGAGCTGATACGGCAAATGAAGGAGGATGCGGAGCGAGGGCCGTGCCGTATCAATGAGCAAACGGAGGAAGACTTGATAATAGGCGAGCCAGTTTTTCTGTCTTCAGAGGAAAGAGCCTTGATGATAGTCACTATGAAGGAGCGGCATCGTGCGTATGCGTTCAATAATGATGAGCGAGGGCGCCTCGATGTGGATAAAGTCCCTATGATCAGGATCCATACGGTGCCCCATGTGCCATGGAACTTGCGAGGAGCGCGTTATCCTAACCCCGCGGATGAGCGCAGGGTGGTCAACTATATTGACGATAAGATTAATACGTACGTAGCTGACTATTCGAGCGGACCTTATGCTTCACCTTGGTTTTGCTTTATTAAACCAAATGACACATTGAGGTGGGTACATAATTTGCAGCGCTTGCATGCAGTGACGATACGAGACGCAGGAGGTTTACCAAATGCGGATGCACTGTAAGAGTCCCGCGCAGGCAGACCAATTATTAGCCTGATAGATTTGTACTCAGGCTATGATTAGTTTCCAATATACCCACCAGACAGGCTTATGACGGCGATGCATACGCCAAGGGGGTTGATTCATATGAATGTGGCGCCACAGGGATGGACTAACGCAGTGGCAATGGTGCAGAGGCATAGGGTGCGTGTTACAAAAAAGATTAATCCACATATCACGCAGCCGTATATTGATGATCTCGCCGTGAAGGGGCCGAAGAAAAAGGATGAGACGGAGGTCATGCCCGGAGTAAGGAGGTTTGTCTGGAACCATATACAGGATGTTGCCTGGGTCCTTGACACTTTGAAGGATTATAATCTCACGGTTAGTGGGGCAAAGTCAAAACATTGTATGCTCGAGGCGACCATTTTAGGTTTTGTATGTAGTGAGAGTGGCGGCCGACCAAATACTAAGAAGACTAACAAGATACTTGAATGGCCGACGCCATTCAGATCTGTTAGTGAGGCTAGAAGCTTCCTGGGGATGTGCGGGTTCTGGCGAGCCTTTATCAGAGACTTCGCAGGGAAAACTGAGAAGTTGCGGAAGCTTGTGCGCCAGGATCAAGAATGGGAGTGGGATGAGAAGCAAGAAAAGGTAGTGTATGAACTAAAGGAGGAATTTAGAGATGGAGGTTTGGTGCTCGGCGTACCCGATTTTGAAGCAACTCTTACTCGTCCTTTCATTGTGGAGACGGATGCAGGGCCAACAACTTTGGGAGGTGTGCTCATACAGGCTGACGTCAATGGCGAGGAGAGGCATCTGAAGTTCGAGAGCCGGACTCTGAATAGGGCCGAAAGGAATTATTCACAGTTCAAGCGTGAGACGCTTGCGGTCCTCCACTGCCTGAGGATATTTCGCAATTACCTCTTTGGCAGGAGATTCATATTGAGAGTGGATCCGACTGCATTGGCAGGATCATTGAAAAACTATGCCCCGTTAGACCCTACTATTGCTAGGTGGCTCACATACATATGGATGTTTGATTTTGAGTTGGAGCGCATTCCAGAGGATAGAAATCGGGCTGACGGGATAAGCCGCATAAACTGGGATAAGAGTGAGGGAGAGGCCAAGGAGGGCACGCCTCCGGTTGATGCATTCCTCGATGAAGAAGAGGATGTAAGGCTTCATATTAATGCATGTGCGGTTGGAATAAGTGAAGTAGTAAGACAAGGGGAATCGACTTTTCTTGCGCCAGCAGGCTATGTGAAGCGGCCAGAGATAGTCCTCAAGACTTTTGAGGAGGAAGATCCATGGGGAGTTAAAGATGTGGAATGGATGAAAAAACTCGCTTTGGCAGAAACATATCGACTATCTAAAGAACGATTGACTATTGAAGAAGAGATTCATGCGATTGAGGCGCATGCTATGCATGAGGCGGATGTCAATTTCCTTGTTAATTCGATACTACAAGTGCAGGAGGGTGTGAGTAGAAGTCAGGATCCTGTAAAGGATATGGAAGAGGACGAGTTTGAGGAAGGAGAAATAACAAAAGCGTTTTGTGCAGAGGAATATGATGGCGTGTATCGGGAATTGGGGTTGCTTCTCTCGTGTGAGATCAGGGAGAGAGAGGCTTTCCTAAAGGTGCATGAGTTGCGGCCGCGATTTGTAGTGCGTGATGGACACCTCTTTATCAAAAACGAGGTTGTAAATCCAAGGCGAGTGATTTGCGGGAGACATCGTCAGATCGATGTGATAGCAGCGCTGCACGATGGACCTGCTGGAGGCCATAGAGTTTTTGCGCTTACTTATGCTAAGGCGCGCGAGCTTTACTACTGGGAAGGTATGAGCGAGATGATTCGTTAGTATTGCGAGTTGTGTGTTCCATGCCAGATCAGAGCCTCAACGAAGTATAAGGAGCCTCTACATCCGAGGATTGTGCGAGATGCAGGGGCAGTGGTCCATTTGGACCTACTGGCCATGCCACCGCGAGTGGCAGGCTATAATTACATTTTCGACGCTCATGATAATCTCACAGGTTTTGTGGATGAGAGGATCATCCGCAATAAGACAGGTGAGACTCTGGYTATRTGCAYCATGGAATACTTTCTYAGATATCCCTTTRTCATGGAGTTYGTGATGGACAKAGGTTCCGAGTTCACCTGTGGAGAGGTAAAGGACTTGCTGCGGGGATATGGTGTGAAGGCAAGCTATACGACGAGGGCTCATCCACAGGCGAATGCTCCGGTGGAAAGGGGATATACCACCCTTACAAACTTATTGGCAAAGTGGATGGATGGTAAAGAAAATCAGTGGCCTAAGCATCTGCGTGCAGCCTTCTTCGTGGAAAATATTACAATCAAGAGGTTCACGAAGTATGCCCTAGCGACTTTATGGTATGGAAGGCACGCTACGCTTCCTATAGAGAGCTTTCTGACGACGTGGAGGCGGCAGGATATGGAGACCAACTTGACCTTCGAAGAATTGTTGGATCTGCGGGCAAGGCAGGTTGGCATTGCGGAAGAGAGAATTCAGGAAGCCGCGGATGGAGTGATGGACAGTCGTATGAAGGACAAGGAGAGGTGGTACCGCCTTCCACGAGTCAGAAAGGAGCCACTCGAAGTGGGAGACGTAGTGTTGCTGTATGACTCGTCTCTGGAGAAACAATGGTCGCGTAAAATGGACAAGTGATGGTTAGGTCCTTACCGTATTCGACGGTGTGGACAGCATGGGGCGTATGAGATCGAAGAGCTAGATGGCGCGCCATGAAGTGATTGGGTTTTGGGTTCGAAGCTGAAAATGTTTGTGGCGCGGGATTGAGGTGTGTTGGAAAGTGCCTTAGATGAGTTTTCTTATGATTTGGTTGATTCCATGACGTAGTAGGGTGACATATTAGTTTAGTTTGGACAAGGTCTCGGTTTAAGAGTCTTAGGTTTTAGTGAGTAGGTCAGATATATAAGGGTCTATCTATACTCATTCTATTTTGCTCCTGTCATCCATCCTTATATGTGCAGGGACAACTTTTTGAAGTTGGCCATAGCCAGTGAGGCGGGAGGATGGTGGGACATGGAGAGCAGCGGACAGCCGCTTCAGCGATCCTGGATCCATTTTACTACTATGGTGGACATGTTTTTCCATTTCTGGATGGATTGGTTAGACAGGCCTGGGCCCTCAGATTAGATTTCTCCCAGTTGATGGAGCGAGTTAGGGGTACAGGTAGGTATATGGAATGCGTGGCTCGGATTACGAGAGACTCTTTGGATTGGCGTCAGTTCGCTAGGAGGATGCTGAGGTTGAGACCCCAGCCTTTGGATCGACAGGGTAGGCCATGCGTTTCGACGGGGCCAACCTGGACGAGTTTCTTGAGAGTTTTGCGATCTTAGCCAGTGAGCAGAGATGGACTGAGGTGCAGGGTATCCGGCAGATTCGGCATTGAGTTATTCCTGAGCTCAGACATGAGGTGAGTGCATTGATACCCTCCATATTGTCCTGGAGGGGGCTTGAGGCAACACTTAGAGGAGCATTTCCAGCTAGTAGGAGGCGCAGTTTGTATAGGGGAGATCGAGATTATATCCCAGAGCTCAGGATATGAGTTGGGGAGCGACAACGGGATCGGAGGCAGGGAGGAGAAGAGCAACATGATATCTCGCGTGTGCATCATATGGAGAGAGGAGCGGATTATCGTGAAACAGCTGTAGAGGCTGCTCATGAGGAGAGAGCCAGTGTCGTTGAGAGGCCAGCTGAGGCTACAACAGGAGGAGAGGAGGCTATATTACCTACGAGTGAGTGGCATGACGGCTCGCCGGCGCCGAGTGTGGAGATAGTGCGAGAGCTCGAGGCAGAAAGAGGTGGTCAGGAGGAGACTCAGAGAGTGGAGGAGATTGTTCAGCCAGTTGAGACGGCTGTGGCCCCAGACATGGGAGCGGATACGTTGGGAGGTTCGCTACCTCAGCAGGAGAGTGTGTCCCGAGCATCGTCAGGAGATAGGGGAGATCGACCGCTGAGGTGGAGAGACACCCATGGTGTGATAGATGGGCTGCCAACGATTGAGGTGTGGTCTACGGATGAGCAGGCCACTACATTGATGTACGGCAAGAGCAGCAGGGGGAGGTTGAGACATTGCTATCGCTAGGGGAGCTGCCTGCGTTGGAGGAGGCTCAGACGGGTGAGGAGCCGCAGAGATCAGAGGATTCCCTGATTACCCTACTATATACTATTGAGTCCCCTAGCCTGTTGATGCAGCAGGAAGAGTCCCAATTGGCGGACGGAGAGAGAGAGACGCAACGTATAGAAGATGAGGTGCTGAGGATAGACCCGGGGGCCCACATGGATGATCTCCACGCAGACGGCTTGGTGTCGTCACGGCTAGTCTTCGATGAGACTCCTCGTCGAGATGACAAGAGAGAGGGAGGCAGTATGGATGCTCATGCCGGGACATATATGAGGTCTACTCAGGATGAGCCGGAGACGCAGAGAGGGGAACCCTCAACTGAGATACAGAGGGCAGAGGAGCGCGAGCAGGATGGAGGAGATACATGGTTAGCTGAGGAGATGAGGAGGATGCCGCCATTACGTTTCCCTAGCTGGGAGGCTTTTGAGCAGGTAGGTCAGGCTGCTAGGCCGGTTTTATATGAGGATTAGAGGATTGGAGGACTTAGAGTGCTCCATGATGACCTCACACTGCAGAGGGACTACATCGCCAGAGGCCTTACTGCAGCACGCCAGGCGACTCAGGATATGAGAGACTATGCTCGGAGAGTCGCTACTAGGTCCTTTGAGTTGTGCAGTGAAAGACGGGAGGAACACAAGGCTTTGGGGGCATTGGTGGAGGACATCCGTTCCCTGGTAGAGAGGAGAGAAGTTCAAACTTTAGAGGAGGCTGAGGCGGTGTTGCGTATCCAAGCAAGGGAAGCAAGTGGCTGGAGGGCACAGGTACAGAGGGTGCTTAAAGAGTATGAGCCTCCCGCAAACGCATCAGACAGGGATCGTTTGGAGCGCAGAGTCGTCCTCGAGACCGTGCGTACCTCTCAGTTGGAGAGCCAGGTATCAACCCTGGTCAGGCTGAGGAGAGAGACGGAGAAGCGGACAATGCAGCTGTTCTACGAGGATGCTGCCGCAGCCGGATAGCAGGAGGAGGTTAGACTGCGACGACAAATGGGAGCAGAACCCATGCCGATAGAGGAGCGAGAGAGGGCAGAGGCCGGACTCCAGGCGAGGTTGTTATCCAAGGCATCTGTGAGAGAGTTGGCGGAGGTCATGCAGCATGTCAGGCGTTTGTCTCGATCTGAGGTCGAGCGGGGTGAGACGCTGCAGGACGTAGTGTGGAGGATGGACGCGTTGGAGAGAGAGAACAGGGGGTGAGAGATACGGTTCAAGGCCTCAGCCTGAGCATGGAGAGTTTGAGGTGACTGACGTTGCGCGTCGAGCAGAGGGTTATGAGTTTGGAGCAGGGGCAGAGGACTCGCGTGCCGACAGGGCCGGTTGGTGAGAGAGCTTTACGGGGATCATATTCTGCTACAGAGCGGACGCGAGTTTTTCGGGAGACAGAGCCATGGACCTTGGGTTTGGGAGTCACCAGACAGGACAGTTGGACAAAGAGATCTATGGGAGTTAGACCGGCATCAGAGGGAGAGACTAGCACTGTGGACAAATTTATGCTTGCCACATGTGAGGTAGCACCCGTGGGACAGGGCCAGGTGCGTACTATGGACCAGACTCCCCCTCTAGAGTTTGGAGTACGAGAGAGATGGCATACTTCGAGACGGCGCGCAGGATCCATACGTGACACCATTCGAGACCTTGCCCACCGCCGCATCTCCGAGCCCTGACGTGATGGAGGAGGTGGCTCGCGGACTTGCTCAGAGGTCTGCCGCACAGGTTGGGGGGAAATTCACTGAAGGATCAGCGAATGTGTTGAGCCCTGATGTGGTGGACAAAGCTATACAGGAGGTGACTACCAGATTGGAGATGACTCAGACCCAGGCCTCACCCGCGCCCAAGAGGAAGAAGGTTGGGGAAGAGAGCGCGCATGACAGATGTTCATGGTGTGGCAGGGGAGGACATCATAGGGGAGACTGCCGTACTTTTCGCCATGATCTTGATAGAGGCATTGTGCAGTTTGATGCACAGGGACGCCTTAGGGACATGCACCCCACCCGCATCCGACAGGGACGTCATGATATGAGGGCGGCAGTATATAGGAGCCTGGGTTTGACATTGAGGGAGGATGAGTGACATCGGATTTTCCTCGACTTTGACTTCTGATCCTGGGCATGAGGATTTGCGAGGGTGGTGCGATCTTGTTATGGGTTTTGTGGTGGTTACCTACGACATGCTTTTGATTCAGTTGTGAGTTAGTTTGGCTTGCCTGGATAGAGATATATCATGAGAGTGTGCTATTTAGGTGATAGGCCCTGGAGGAGGTGAGGATTTACAGTTCCTTGCGTCTATGATATGCCTAAGGACCAGACACAGACTAGTGTACATATGGAGGAGACTTCGTGTGGTTTGAGTAGTGAAAGTGTGAGCTTGTGATACGGTGAGTTGGTCGTATGAGGATCCACGATGTGAGAGTGACTTGGGGGTGGGTCCTGACGACCAGAGACTATTCTCATGATTGGGAGTTTTTGTTTCTCTATGAGAGGGTACGTTGAGTGTATTTGAGATATTTTTCTTCGAGTTGTTTCTCTCTTAAGACTCAGAGCGTGCTATGTTTGGGTTTTCATTTTTGAGGACTCTCTGGGAAACATTTGTTGATCCAGACTTTGGCACGAAGGATGTTTCATGTACATATATTTTTTATAGGTATCACATTTACGATGCCACTTTCTTTGTCTATCTCTGATTGAGGATGTCTCATCTTTAAGTCTAGATCGTGATGTGAGGTCTCGTGTGGAACTAGGAAGCCAATAAACCTTTCTCACACCAAGTGTGAATCTTGCTCACTCTTGTGTTTATGGTCATTCTTGTATTTGGTTGTCAAATGCATTGAGATTGTTTGACTAACGGATACGTTTATCTGCGCTTTGCTATGGAAAGGCTGAATCGGTATTGCGGCCTAAGAAATGCGGATATTAGGATGGGGACCCGTAGAGGAGTTACCCATGGAGGTGTTTATTTGGATGGGGGCCCGCAGAGGAGCCACCCATAGTTTATTTGGATGGGGGCCCGCAGAGGAGTGACCCATGTGTTTTGTGAGGCGGGGGCCCGGTGATGAGTGGTCCGCGTGATTTGAAGGAAGAATGTTTGATGAGATAAAGTGAGACGCAATGAAAGCCGTGATGATTTCAGTTTGTTTTGCAGAAAATTGCCAAAGGATAACCAAGCTTATGAGATTATTTGCATATGTGGTGAGAAGTTCCCTCAAGAAGCAGGGTAACTTGGTTGTGAGGCTCTAGGACCCGCAGCCGTTTCTGTCGTGATCAAACAGTGTGACTGCAAGCTAAGGGCTGGTCCTAGAGTATATGAGAGGCCTAAGCCGGGGGCTAATCCGGTATCATTGGGCTAACCCCAGTGAAAGGCTACTGTCCCGCGCAACCAGGACAGCGGACCTCTAGCCTAGCCTGAACTTGGAGCCTGGAAGGGTGGCCCACACTTTGTCATCATTTTATTTTATAGTAAGGGGATTATTATTATTATTATTATTATTATTATTATTATTACTGTTTACTACTATCGTTATGGGTGGACTATATACTAAGTCGATTATGGGTCATTCAAAAGGGCTCTAACTAGGGTGATGACTAGAGGGTACTTAGGTTCAAAGATAAGAGTCGCCTTAGCATTGCGAAAGCAATGTAGGCAACATCGTAGTCTAAAGATGCGATGAACCGTGACTCGGTCTGATCAGCCGAGACATGGTGAGCCTAGGGAAAGACTATATCCTTACCCGTGACTGGACGCCGAGGAAAGGTTGATTGTGATCCTAAGATTGTGAGGAGTGGGCTGAGTGCAGCACTGAGACAGTTGTGAAAAAGTGAGCTACTCATTGAGGGTAGACCTTTGAGTGGTAGGCCATTCAGGGGAGTATGCTATTGATATGAGATTCATTACAGGATTGGGCCACCTGGGGGAGTACACTTTTAATTTGCTTAAGGTACTCAAGAGGGGTTGACAATCTGCATCAGTTTGTGTTGCAAAGTGATCCCACTCGTAACCATTTGTCTTGCCCAAAGCTCAAGCCTGAAGATGAGAGTTGCTTGCAACTCGAATTCAGAAGGCACCAAACGAAAATCGGAAGGCGTCTAGGGCACGCGGAGGGGCAAGTGTTTGAATATTGGGGCTGACTAATGGTGGTAGTACAATGAAAGTATCCCTGTGAGTCAGCCAAGAGATGCAGGTTGGAGTCCTGCCCGTCAGAGGGATATCGCAAGACTAGAATGCTTGGTCCAAAGCTAAGGCCTTCCGATTATACGGATTTGTTTATTCCTTTGGCCAGTCTATGTTGTTATTTGGGATTGGCATGTTTCTCCAAGTGCGACAAGGACGTCGCTTAATAGGGTGTGGGTGGACTGTCGTGGCAAACACCCTTACAAGGGTCTTTGCCGTTGTTTTGAAAGGTCGCGCTGGGTCCGACCTTGGCCACAGAAACGCGCCGATAGGACGAGTTCTGACGGTACTCCCGTCTTAGTAATTTGTTGAAGGCGATTTGATTAAGCTAAGTGTGCTGAGGTTAGAGAGTGTGTAGGCATACTTTTTTGAGTATGCGATTGTCGTAATTAGCGATTGCGGTCGGATTAACGGCCGACACAGAAACCGGCCCCTTTGGGCAAAGATACAAGGCATCGGGGGATTAAACTTTGATAAGCAAGTGTCATATGCGTCTTATGTGCGGGCGCGATAGTTGATTTTGTAAGTAAGACTGGTTGTTTTGTTACCAGTATTGAGAAAAGTCAGTTGAACTTCGTTGTCAAATCGATGGAGGCTCGGTGTAAAGTAGTGCCCGCAACGGCAACAAGTATTAGGAGTAAGGGCCTTAGTACTACCGAGGCAGCTCATTGGGCCATCACTAGTAGGGGCTCCGCATACCGAGTGCGAAGATCGTGGCCCTGGGGCCAGCGGCGCGACCGAGTAGGGGGAGGGCCTACTTGAATATGTATGGTAGGCTTACCTGGTGGCGGATACTACTTCGAATGAAGTTCCACTCGCGAATGTGTCAGGTTTGGGTTTAGCCCTATTGGTTACGACATTCACCTTCACGAGGGAGATCCGGGGATTGAGGCTAGCAAGCAACGATAGAGTAGAGGAGCGCAATTGGAAGAGACTGAGGGGTTGAGGGTCCTTAGGGACTATCCCCCTTGGTTTTGCCAAACGGGTCCAGTCGGGGTCTAACTGGCCCAACCAAGAGGGCGCCGGCGGGGCCTCGTCGTCGTCGGTTTTACTAATTTTGTTTTTGATATGTTTTTACTTGTATTTTTAATTTTTATTTCTCTTTTCATGAAATCCCATCTTGAACCAAGCAGGAAAACTGGCTCTGGGACCGACGGCGAAAAAGTACCGCAAGGAAGGATGAAAGGAACCTTGAAAGAAAGAAAAGAACGCTTGAAATTGTTGAGCGATGAGCAGATGGAGAGAAGTCGTGTACCCACACCTGGTCGAGGGCAGACGACGACTTGGTCGCCGCCATCATTGGCCAGTACGCTGGGTGCCCGCCAGCATGGGTTGCTGTGACAACATTGCATTGAGGAATGATTGGAACTTTCCTTCACGGGTGGTTGTCACGGCAGCCGATGACCTTGAGTACGCGCCTCTTTTAGCATTAACGTTCGGGGTCCTGGGTACTCGGGGTGCTGACAAAATTCCTCTATCCTATCTGTCTTGAAAGCACAGACCGAAGGGGCCAACGTGCCGGTGAGCCTGTGGGTGCAAAGCCCTCGAAGCAGCCGGATCCCGAGTGGCGGGGATCTCCCGCAGATGCACCGTCCACTAGCCAGGATCTGCTGCTGGAAGGCTTGAGTGTGAGCAGGCCCGTGGGACCCGAGAAATAGTGAACTGTGCCCGGGCAAGGCACAGTCTACTAGCCAAGATTTGTTGTAAAGAGGTTTGAGTGTGAACAGGTCTGCGGGATCAGTACCACTGGACCTAACTCAGTTGGCACACCCGCAGACTGTTGAAAAACAGCTCTGCGGGATCAGTGCCACTGGGCCTGGCTCAAATGGTACACCCTCAGAGTGCTGAAA